AAAACAGAAATTCTTAACAGAAAGGAAAGCAACAGAGAAATTTTTCTTTGCATTAAGAAAAAAGTACAAAGCGCATGATTTCCACAATTTTCTTTTTGTTTTTGTTTTTTACATATTTTCACTTGCACACCTTCTCGCTCAAAAACAAAATACAAAATAATTTCTTTTATGACAGCAAACATTGTGGAGAGCGTAGGCGGAGCTTGGCACAAATACAAAATACTGGCGTGGTTTTTTTGCTTTTCTTTTACAATGTATGGAGCGTTGTACTGAAAAAATACGGTTGAAGCGAAACGGTTAAATACAATTTCCCCTGCTTGCATTACTGAACCGGTTCGCTTTTTTTGTGCTCTCGCAATGCGATTATTTTTATTAGTTTGTGTGTGTGCGGGAATAGTTACTCAGTGACTGTTAAACTGTGCATCGATTTTATAATTTTCGTTTCAAATAAAAAGTCTTAAACTTTAACGGAATGAAGGCAGTTTAAATATTTTTTTATTTTTGGTAATTTTCAACTAAAATGTGTGAAATAAATTTCACAAATTTAATGTTGAGTTTTTATTGGTGAATTATGGAAATTCTTAAATCCTATGAAGTGTTAAGGGAAAATCTTTAAAACACTAGTCTTTGTGATCAAATCTTTTAAATAAAACAAGTCACTTTTAAAAATAAAAATAGATAAATAAATAGAGAATTTATTGCTGCGAACATTTGATTACTTAACATTTTATTAATTAATAATAAAAGTAAATTAAAAATAAGTAAAAAGTATTTTCAACATTATTTAAGAAGAGATTTTAATCAGATATTAAAAATGGCCTCATAGTGAATTTTATACACTAAAGCAAGGCTGTTCAGACCAGATACGATCATGGGCCAATACAAGTCACTGTGCAGATTAGAGGGCCGCAGAAACAAGTGATTACGCCCATGGTTTTTTTGGAAAAAATAAAAATACTGTGATTATGTTAAATTTAATTTTATTAATAATTTCATTTGAATATATTTTTATAGAGCACAACAAAAATAAAATAATGTATTTATAATATATATAACAAAGGAAAATTTGCGTAATTGTGGTAGACAACCCTGCACTAAAGGTTATTTCAACACTTCAATTTAATATTTTTTAATAACAATAATTTAAAAAGATTAACACTTTCACTTAACACAGTGCATGACTGCGTTCAGTGTTCAGTTAAGTATAAATACATACAATAAAAAACTATTTAGTGAATAAGTAACAGAAGAAAATAAATGCGCAAATATACGAATAAAAAAAAATCTAATAAAATAAAAGGTGCCATTTTACAGCACTAAAAACAATATTGGTTTGCACAACATATATAAGAAAAATTTTTGCAAATAACTTCCACACAAACATTTTTAATACTGAAGTTGATTGCTAATATTAACAACTTTTAAAATTATTATTAATTAATATTGCCAATTAACAGCATTAAAAAACTAATTAGTGGTACAACGTTCTGGTACGAATTTGTGGTAAAATTTTTCGTAAACAACAACAGTGTAAACATTAATAAAATTTTGATAACATTTAAAACCATTTATTAACTTTAGAGAAAACATTGCTAATTAGCAGCACTAAAAAATGAATCAGATAACTTTTTATGAAATTGATAAAAAGTTTCTGTAAATAAAGTTAATGTGAACATTCGGCATATAATGTAGCATTTTTAATAACATTTAAAATTAATTGCGTGAAGCATTAAAATAGATTTTTAATTCAATAATATTAAAATCATTGGCTGACGCTGTAGTATGCTTTACTAATCAACAAAGAAAATATCGTAATATCATTTACTAATGTAATTGATTCAATCAAAATATGATGCAAATTCATTTATATTTTGAAACTCATAGCAAGTCAGCCACTCAAGCATTTAATGCTCAAACTATGTTATCTTATAAATATACAAAAAAAATAAGAAAATAAAAATGTTATTTAGCTATACTCAAAACTGATAAGACGTGTGTCAAAACCAATATAAGAAAAATTTACAAAAACAGCACCATATATGATCGAAAGTGCTAGCATATAGCATGAAAAATATTAAAATGATAACGCCAGCATTGGAGGGTACAACTGCTACATAACAGCGCCAAAAATGTTAAAAGGATTTATGTCAATACTACTTAACGGAGTCCATAATACTAAAAAGAGCATAACGTCAATCCTAGCGAACAGCATCAAAATACTGATTCAACTAAAAAAGAAAATTATTATTAGCATCTGAATAGTGTTAAATAACTAGCCAAATCAAAATTTAAAAGATACTGATTATAAAAAGCTTAACCAGAACTGCTTGGCAAACTTATTACGCCTATATTTGCATTTGAACCACGCTACCAAATAACTTCAAGATGTAGACCTAGACCATAATTATACAATGTAAGATTCTTCCCGCTATTGCTTCTAAACTTACAATTCAGTGATGATGTTACTACTCGATGCCAGACTCGTAAGTGAGGTTAAGTCATGAGGTGCTAAACTACCCTCTAAATGAATCGATACACCTTATGTAAATAAAAATACAGAATAAAACTAAGCGTTTTTTATATCACATATTTTATTTTTTAATTTCACTAGATCTATTTATCATCGTAATATTATTCCTGGTACTTACTTGTACTTTATTTATATATACAAACAGTTATTACGCGTGTTTCCTAACACATTATTCTTTATTTATTTGTTTTAATAATATTTGAATAAAACAACTTTATTTGCATTTTATTTAATTTAATTTAATTAAATAATATTTAATATCTAATTACGTAAGCAAACTAAATAAATATTTACAAAAAAACAGACAACAAAATAAGAACGGGGGTGGTAAGCAGAATTATGATTTGAAATTTATAGCAGTATTAAAATTAGTTTGTTAAGTTTTGGTATATAACAGGAAGTGAAAAAACCAACACACGTTGCTTCTGTTTTTATCCGCTATGTCCCTAAACCTAACTACAATGAGACGTCCTCCCGAAAGGTCAGAAAGGTCAGAGGTTTCTGAGGGGCCACATTATTGGATACACTAACCTGGTTTTTTAACCTGGTATGAAGATGTACCTATCTGAGATGACAGTCTGTTATCATTGTATGAAAGGATATAAGACTTCAAGTAGTATAAAAAATATTTGGTTGGCATTTCCATAACTATCTTTTGTTAAAAGCTTCTCAACGAAGGCCGTTCTGACCTCATTCGAAATGCTGAGCATTTTCTATTTGATTATGATCAGATATCATACAAAAAATCAACCTTTGTTGTGATTCTGGGATTACTAAGTGGAGTAGGGATACTATAATCGCAGGATGTAACCATATTAGGTGGGCGGATATTTCAATCTTCACTTCATACAATATGCAAACACCAGCGTCTTTGTAGTAATTGATCTTAATTCAACTTAGTTTAGACTGTTTAAAAGAAGCATATTTTATTACTGAAGGATATTTCAGTATATTTGGAGGCATTGAATTAGTACAATAGTGCTAGAACTCAAACAACCCATAGTCGATTCCCGAAAGTTTTATAAGTATCCGTGTTATGTATGTTCGGTATTAAATTTTTTAATAAGATCAGTGGTAATAATGTAAAAAAAACACATTCGATTTCAATTTTATCATAAATATGTGAACTATTTTAAAACTTTAGAATGGATTTAAAAGAAATTCGGTGTTTTGCTTCGGTTTGAGTCTACCCAAACGATCCTGAATCAACACAAAGCATTAACTGAATAGCATTCAGTTTCATCAGGATCAAACCGGATTCTTGTTCAGAAGCTAGCCAGATTAACCGTCAATTTATCACCAAACTGGTAAAACTTTTAATTCTACTGATGTATTTGTTCAGACAGCTTAAAAGCCATCTTTCATTCAAATAATAAATAAATGATTTATAGTGAAAATAGTTGCAATAACCAGGCTACCAACTTCAGGTTTTATATCCCTGATCCCTGGTTCTTCGCAGATCTCAAACATTTTTTTCGTAGATAATGATCTCAAACGATTACTTGTTTTGTAGGAAACAGTATAAAGATAGTATAACTTCACATATTTAAGTATTCTGTGACAAAAGAATATACTTGTACTTGAACGATTAGTTTATATGGTAACTATATCAAAGTCAAGAACAATTTAAAACAAATATTTAAAAGGTATAACCTTAACTAATAAAATAAAACTAACTGAAATTAATAACACAAATAAAATAAAATTTTAACATTTATTTTAAACATATGTTTTTTTCAACATATGGACAATTTCTGTGTATAAACTTCACAAATAAACTCACACATGATTTTTGGAAAAATACTTTTCAAAACAAAAATGAATTTTTCTATATTTTTAGAAATAACAAAGATTGTTTAAACAAATGGCAAATATTATCTTATGCAATTAAACAAATTAACACTACAAATTCATTAAGTACCTTGTGATATTTAGACGATTCTTATGATATAATATCAATCAACACCCTAAGGAATGCAAACTAAGCTCAGGTAGAAAATATGAAAACCTTTCCTTTCTGATTTGAATATAAACAAATTAATTGAAGAACTATTTTAAAGAGTTTATTTCCTTGAGTTCTTTTCTTGAAAAATTGTCTTCTTTCTCCGTAGGCTTAATCGGACTATCTGGTCCTCTTCTTATCTCCTTCATCTGGCTTAAGCGGTTAATTCTGTACATTTAAGCTTGTGCTATTATTTTGAAAATATTCAAAATCAACACATACTGAAAGTACTTTAAAGCTTGTTGTTAAAATCAAACACTTAAGTTATACCAGTAGTTCATTGATCAGAATATATAATATATCATATTCTTTGGTAAAAAGTAGTGCATTCTTAAGTTGTTATTGCTGGTCATAAAAATATTTTTTAATTCAACTGTTTTATTTCCATTATATTTTAAATATTTAAGCAAGTCCCTTATAAAAAGGCCCTCATCTTGAAAATTTTATTAGAAAACTAAAAGACGACTCCGCCATACAACAAGAAAAATGTGTAAAATATTACTGCAGCTTACTTTGTTATCAATCGCCTTGATTAACTATGTTAATGCACAGGCAAAAGTTGTTGGAGGAACACCCGTGCCAATAAGTCAAGCCCCATATGTGGTTAATATTAGAGAAACTAATACTGGTTCTTTGATATGTGGTGGCACTTTGATAACATCTAAGCTTGTGACTTCAGCAGCAAATTGCCTTAAAGGTAAATACACAATTAAGCAGTTGACTATCCAAGGAGGCGCTAGCTTTTTCTCAGAGACAGGATATCGGCGTACAGTCGATTTACTAGTTTTTCCAACAGCCTTTGATACTACAACTTACAATCATGATGTTTGTGTATTGAGACTAAAAACAGCCATGCCTAGCTCATTGACACCAGTTCAAATCGCTTATAATGGTGTTTCACTTGGTGAGTCACTAAAAATTTATGGTTGGGGTCTGACTACTGAAGATGGCACTCCTTCAAATGTACTACAAACCACTACAATCACTCCAGTAGCTAAAGCCGAATGCAGGCTTTCTTATGAACTTACTGGAACTATGTTCTGCGCTGCGGCTCCAGGCAAAGATGCTTGCCGTTTTGACGGTGGCGGTCCTGCTATAAATGCAAACAATAAAATGGTGGGAATCGTTTCATGGGGATATGGTTGTGCTCGGGCAGATTATCCTGGTGTTTATACCAGCATTGCGAAAACAGGTGATTTCATTAAAATGTGTATCAGTAGATACGGTTAATAAGCAAATTATTTTTAAATTATAATAAAAAATAAAAATATTAAGTTAATTTGAATGGGTCGAATTATTTTTGTAATATTAAAAATAATAATATACGATATTGTAAAAAAAATCTGAATAAAATTAAAAGAAATATTTGATATTAACATTTGTAGACT